CCTGGGGCCGACGACGTCGCGCTCGCTGGCGGTGGAGACCCTCCCGGAGGAGTTCGCTCGACACCTATGCCCTCCATGGTTGATTCGCTGGCAGTCGCTTGTTGGGCGCTTATAGCGGACATGGTGGTACGGGAAAAAGAAGCGTGTGTGGCAAGTAAAATATTGCAGGCGATTGATATATCCCCTTCCCCTTTAAGTGTGTCTACTGAATGTTTAGAATCATGTTCAGTCACAGCCGAGCAATCCGCACTCCAGCTGCCTACAAACTTAGCAGGTAAGGGACGATCCGAGTCGCGCCCTTCACTTGAAGATGCATACGATGAGCTTGTGTACACCGATAGCCAACGACACCGAGTTCAAACAATCCTGGAACTACCCGGTATAGTCATCCCTCCTCATCTCCGTAATAGAGGTCAGCCCGCGACACTCGTATACCTTCGTGATCTTCAGTCCTGAACGCGCCGCTAGTATGCTAAACTCCTCTACGGTGCGCTCTCCTCCCTTGAACATTGTGAACATGTACAGGTCGTGCATGTTCGCGAATGAATGTCCATATCCGTAATTCGCTGGCAGCGGTGACGGCGCTGACCTCAGGTAACTGGAGCCCACTGTGGTTTGCATCACGTTGTCTGCTATCAGGACGCGCGAGTGAAGGCCCATTGCCCTGCGAAGGTGCGACAGAATTGTGACACAGACGTCATCTTCCCAATCGTGACTGCAGCAGATTAGTGCGCTGAAAACAGGCATGACGGGTATACATACAGTATGTGGCGTAGCAAATACACATCTGCGCCTCTCGTCGGTTGTTCAGTGAAGAAGTTGTGGGCGACGAGTTTGACTCGCCCTGATGACAATGACTGCGGAAGTTCCTTCCGCCAGACAGTCGCGGCCTCTTGAATAACAACAGCGCGATCTTGAACGATAAATTGTAATTTGGGGTACCGCTTCGCTAACTCCATGCTCATCCCACCTAGGACGCCATAGTGCTGTTTCAGTTATTTGGCAGAACATGAGTTGAAATGGCGTAATGTACCGATACCCGCTCCCACATCGACAACCACGCTCGATCCAAGTGACTCCCAGGGAAAGTCTAGTGACATCCGTTAAGAATTCATCGGAAACATCGGAATGTAGATTCACCGTCACATACTGCAGGGGCCTGAACATGCCCTAAGCCAAACTCCCACATGCCAGCTTTCCAGATCGCTCGCTCCGGTCGAGGGGCGATGGTCCCGTCTGGAAGTTCGACCGTCTGCTCAAGCCATTCCCAGAAGTCTTTATCTGTCTCGTAGGCCTCCTGGAAAGCGGACTTTCGCGAAGGCTTGTCGAACGAACCGTACAGGACTGTGGGCAATTTATCCGAGGCCGTATATACCTCCATGCAGCTGACCACGAGAAATATCAGCGAGGCAGATCGGGAGACGGCAAAATCGCGAGGCCCACTTCATCAACAACCAGCACCTCAAAGGCTCGTTGCGGACAAGATGTTGGCTGGCTGTATTGTTCACATAATAGTTATCCTTCACCTCGGCGAAGATGTGGATGGTGCAAAGACAGCGAAGGACGCGTCCTTCCTCTTCAATCAGAAGCATCGAAGTTTATACAAGCAGAAAAGATACCTAGACTCTGCGCGTCGATACCAACCTGTCGACTGATACCTTGGATTGAGATGCCTTCTTCCGGATCGGCGCCGTCCAGGACATCAGCAATGCGTGATTCTGCAGCAATACGCAAAGCTTGCGACCCGAAGTAGGAGTTTATAACTTCGGTCATCCGGACGATGGGATCGTGTACAAGATCGATGCCCATGCCACATGCGCCGATGAAAGTGCGGCGCGCCTCAAACAACGTAGGCGACGGCAAATGGGATCGTTCCGCTGGAGGGGTCTGCTCCTCGATCTCCCATTCTTTGATGACCACCTCTGCTGTATCGGCAAGGAGCCGCACAAGGGACCTCAACTGCTTCGCCTTCTGGACTACGGGGATGCTGTCTATGAGAGCCATGGAGAAGGAACACACAAAAAATCACGTCTCTCCACATCCCTTATATTCTGTGTTAATGTGCTCGGAGTTCATTATCAACTCACCATAAATACTTCCTTCCAAGATTAGTATTAGCTCCAAATGGCAGAGAACATCATGTTTTGGCCCCACTCAGTTGCTCCAGACTTCCGAAATCTCTATTGTCACTATGACATCCTGTCTCTATCCGGCGGCGTTTTCTCAGAGAACACGACGTCCGGGGCTACGATCGCTGAGCAACTCTCGGGGAGCCGTTATCTGCTTCTTGAGGGTCAGCAGTTCGTAGAAGAGAAGCATTCTAGGTAACAAAAAAGGGGGTCATGTTCCATCGTGACACGCTTGTGCGAATCAGTACGATCCTCACGGCGTTTTCTCGCTTTCCCATTTCCTTCGCTCGAAACCAGCGCTGACGTGATCTTCTATAGACTGCATCTGGACTTACGTCTGTCCGAAATTACCTCCGAGGGCTACAAGATCGAAGACGTAGACTGATGGATTAGTTGAGCTGGGATCCACCCTTTGAGGCAATTGGTGCTAGTTTTACGAAATGAGGCCGTGCTTGCGCAATCGTGGATTCATTTAGCCAATGACTTGGAACTTGAACGTCTTCCGAGTCGTCTTTCTGTATCTACATGGGATGCCTGACTTTCTTGCATCATGAAATCGTGCGAGCATATGTAGGTCCCCTTACTTATCCCATGGTAGTGATGAACCTTGATTCTGTACATCTTGGCGTCATCCTCGTCGCTTTTACATCCGTGAGAGTCTTGACTATCGTGTGGGCGTGGACGTTCTGGCTAAGCCGGCCACTGATAGAATGTACGCTGAACTATCTTGAGTAGTGGTATGGTTATAGTGAGAGCGAAGGAAAAGTCATACCTGCCTCGGACATCATCAAACCAACGCCGGTGCGTCTGTCCACATCAATGGGGTTCGCGCACACGAGCGAGTCACGATATCATCCATGCATATAAGGACATATCTTACTAGATTGCAGCATACTAGAACAAGGGAACAAGACAGGGATATCGACTGCGCAATGACCAACTGCATTGATCGCCTGGGCCGTGAATACTCAGCGTTGACCGTATGCCTTCGTTTCGTACTTTCCGAGGCCGACAATGACGTGCTGGGGGTCTTGCGGCTTGCCGGTCAAGTAGTTTTCGAGAAGTTCCCTGGTACCAGCAGCGTAACGCGCCTGCGCATCCAGCGTCGTGCCAGAGTAGTGAGGCACCATGCCGTTTCCTCCGCCGAGAGGGTTCTTCATCGTCCTCCAGGGGTGGTCTTTCGGAGCAGGTTGTACGTTCCATACATCACCTGCATACCCAGAGAGTTGACCACTCTTCAACGCCGCAGCGACAGCGTCCCTATCGCAGATGGCGCCACGAGCAGTGTTTACGAGCCAAGCACCCTGGTGAGACCAGACTGAGCCTTAGTTCGGGGAGCAATTGAGGATAACGAACCTTCTTGAAGTGCTTAAGGAGCTCAGCGTCGATAAGGCCCCTCGTACCCTCATGCAACGGGCAGTTGACGGTCACGACGTCACACTGCGCGACGAACTCCTTTAAATCCTCCACGCGACGAACGTTAATGGCCTTCGCAGCATCTAGGGGGACAGCAATCAGGCGCTATACAACAGGGTATCACAATGGACGTACGCTCGGGAAGGGGATTGTAGTCGTAGTACAGCAGCTCCTTGCAATCAAAGGGCACCAAACGCTGAAGAACGCGGTAGCCGATACGGCCGGCGCCAATGGTACCGACGACCTTGCCTTCAAGGTCAAACGCGTTACGTGCGACCTCGGAAACAGCCCAGTCACCGCGCTCAATCATCTCGTGAGCAGGAACGAAGTTGCGGACCAGGAGCAATATGCTCATGACCACGTGCTCAGCCACAGAGACAACGTTCGAGCCGGAGACTTCGAGCACTTGAATATGGCGCTCAACGCAGGCGTTGAGGTCAACATGGTCGGAACCGACGCCCGCAGTGATGCAGCACTTCAGATGCTTAGCCTAGATTTGACATATGCCATAAGGTGTCGATGAGCGCCGAGCAGGAAGCGAAAATGTGAGACCAAAGAGACCAGCTGAGCACGAAAAGACGCTTGCCTCTTCGATGAGCTCACGAGTGAGATACCCAGGGTGGAACGGCGTGGTGATCAGAACCTCCGCCTGAGCGGGACGGGTATCAGTATCATAATCATCAAGAGCACTCGAGCAAATGCACTCACGTCCTTGATGTGCTTGTGGAAATCACTGGTGTGACCGTCCTTATCATCGGTCACCTTGACGTCGCATGAGTGGAGATTCTGATAATCTATTCGAGGATACCTACGATAAATTCGTGGCCTAGCGACTCCAACCATGGCCGTAAGGCGAGCTACATTCCTCTCATCAGTAACACAGATACTGCGCGATTGCGACACAGACCTGATTCTCAATGGTACCAAGGAGACGGGGCTCCTGCTTGGCGGCCTCGCCGCCACTGTAGAGGACAGCCAAAATCTAGTTTGATAGGTCAATAGAGCAGCATATCTGGGAGAGAAGCGTATTCGCCTTCATATTAGAGGTAATTTACGGGGAGGCGAAAGGTTGCTGAAGATGGGGCGGATCTGGCGAAAGGCCTGAAGAATGGGCATCACCAGTGCGATCCGGAACTTTATATGCATGCCAGAACGCCATCCGGGTGAGATGCCTTAGCTAAGGGCAAATTCGGCAAGGTCAGTAGCAACTCGACAATTCCGACCTGCTGACTGCTCAAGCATAAGAGATTCTATCCATATTCAGAGTACACCGCGCAGCGGGATGGGAGCACGAGAACGGGTATTCAGCCACGATTGCCCAAAGCGGAGTGCCACGTGGGCATGCGCGCCGAGTTGCTCCTTCGACGATGCTGCAAGAGGACATAGGACAACATGTTTTCGCGTACTAAACGCCTGAGGCGATGTTCACCCGGCCGTCGTCTCCGATTGTCCACGACCTCGCGCGCCCTCAGCTTACGGCACCCGCTTCTTGCGCCCGGATGTTCCGTACATAGATATAGACCGTGTATCAGGCTGTGATGAACTTTCAGACAGCTGTCTTGTTAGCCCGTCTTGGGTATCATCTGATACGGACCTTCTGCTAGTCTGCTGGTCATGAAACCAAGGCTCTCCGATGTAAGGCACGAGTCCCTCGAAATGTTCTTGGAGACTCTTGCTGACTACGCATCTGGTCGGGTGAATAGTATCTTGAGAAATTAGCAATCCGGCTCCCGCGTGCTCTGTCAGCACGTCCACACGAGACGTGAGCGACATCTTCCGAGCTCTCCACTCCTTTCCGGAGTCGTAAACAGTTCATGCACTCTTCCTCATTGGTATGAGCGAATGCACGCAGGACCGACGAATCGAAATTTGCCGCCTGCTTTGTTGCCTCACGGCCCGATGTATTTTTACCGGCGTCCCGCCCATGTGCCAAGACGTTCCGGTGCTTCGTTCATTGTACTGGTCGTTTACCATCCCGAGACGTCCGCGGACCAATGATTGTCCACATAAGCCACACAAGTTACAAATGCGAGCGGATATCGTTGCACATGATAGTCAATAGACAGAACCTTCGTACCTATGGATTACAATCCATCTGTTGGGCCTCTGAAAGATGACCGCTGATACTACTCACCTCTGCAATGGCATGTACGCGGATAGTCGAGAGGAGCTATACGTTATCCTCCCGAAGAAGCGAATGCAGCATCCTTCGGAGAAACCATTTCATACTCATCCTCGCCGATGCTCTCCAATCGGTTCGTGGGAGGAGGGCTGCGCGGGCGCACATCTTGATTTACCACTTCCCACTCCACTCGGATGAAAACCCACATCCACCGTCGTACAACTTCGGCAAACTCGAAACAGAACATCACCACATCGCCTTCCGCATAAGCGTGTAGATGGCTGGACAGCTTCGCGCTCCACGTAAGGCGGAGTACCAAGTCCACAATAATTGCGAACGGATAGACTGGCAACGGGAAGAGCAACGTATGACGAAGCCCGTACGGATGCCATAGTCGTCTCGGATTGGGCGTAGTGTGCACATCGCCACCTGCGAACGACTCTTTCGACCCGTCGACATCGGCAGGAGGAGAGGGCGGCTGTTTGCCCGATGAGGCGGTTCGAAACTGCATGGGGAATAGTAGCAAGGGACGCGGAAGGGACGATGCGAGTCGTGATTGGCGATGCACAAGTTCAGGATCGGATGAACGCGGGACGAGGAGATCAAAGCCCCAGTCATTGGTTACGTCCCACCAGAACGAGTACAGTGAGTTTACTACTGCAGCAAATAGCCTGAAATGGACAGACATTGCTGAGTCATGAACCTGTGTTGAAACGGAATCTGCTAACCATAGTCGAAATAACGCATGCTCGCCGTGCCAAACTTCATGGCTTGCCGCTTCGCCCTTTATGGCAACCAGTTCCGATACGACGATGCGTTGCGCTGCTGATAAGTATATGACAGGGAATGACGTCGCGTATTTCATTGCGTTGAAAAGAGGTCGCTGACTCTCGTTGGTGGGTGATCTGTACTCAACAAGGCATTGCCTGAACCGCACTGCATATGGCAAGCTGTATTGCGATTATTACCTCTGCATCGAGATTCGATACAACTAGATCGTGAACGAACCTCATCAATGTTGGTAGGATCCAACGCGTCCATCCATCCTGCGGCGGTGTTACAATGAGGCTCCCACCAGGCATGAGCATGCAAAATGACAGCCAGACGTCTCCTAGTACCTTCGCAAATGACGTACAGACATCTGCAAAAACCACATCGGCGAAGTGGATCCGACGAGAAGGAAATAAGCATCGACATATCGAGCTATCTCAAGCTCAGTTGAGGATCTGCATGCTGCGGAACAGGTTGGATAGAGACTCACTAGAGAAACTTGTCACGTTCTGCTTTCGCAATAATGTGGAAAGGAGAGATAAGAATCATCAAGACAACCAATATCGCGACCGCAGGTATAAACTTGAATGCATCTACGCGAGAGATGTCCCCAAACGTCGCGTACCTGTATATTGACCAGGTCGCGACAGTCCAGAGTGCATACTGAGTGAAGAGTTTGTAGACGGGTTTGTAGAGCGCTGCAGAGTTCCTGGAATATCTCCACCTTGAGTTGACTCGGCCATCCAACGGTGATGATGAGACAGTTCGAATCCTATGTGTATCATAGTGATCCAGATCAAGCACAGAGCGAGCATCCAGTCCCGCGAAGCGCAGTCCATGCAGATTCGCCGCCCATCCAAGTATTCCGAGTCCAGCGAGGGTCAAGACACGGAAAGGTAGCGGAAAGGTAGCGGAAAAAGGAGGTTCGGCTAGGGTATCATCAGACATGGCAATGCTGCTCAGAAGTCGTGATGGTTGGACGAAAAGCAGACTTCGAGAAGTGTAGAGAAAGCAAGGATGAGGGGGCACACCGGTTATGCCCTCACTGTGCGTTCTCCTTTTCGTTGTCGTCGATAGCGGCGAGAGTGCTACGTGTATGAAACTCAGCTACGTGTATGAAACTCAAGTGCAATCATAACTAACTGACATCGCTGAACGTGCCACGTGGCGCTTTCCTGCCGCCACATATGGTATCACGTGATTATCTTCCCAAATTCCAACTCCAACCCGTGGATGACTGTCGCAAAAATTCTGTAGAGTTTATTTCGAAATGCAACGCTTTCGGCCGCGAGGATGAAGTCGATGACCGTGGTGCTTTCCATCCTTTGATATGTGCGCTATCTTTAATTGAACGTAGTCCATGTACTGTTTGGGCCTTTCCTACATCCGGTCTAGACTGATCCTATTTGTTCCTACGTCTTATTAACTTCGCAACTAACACGAGTAGGTCACCTCAAGTACCTATGGGGCAGGGAATGCATCGAACCTGCCAAATAGCAGTACAGTATGTTATGTGTACTTACTGTCGCATGTCCAACCGCGACAGAGTAAACACCTTTAAGTGGTTAGTGTTTTACAGGCAAACATCCATACTCTGTTGCTCCCGGGCGGGGGAGGGGGGGACGTTAGCAGCACAGTCGGGAAATCCAGCCTATAAATAGCAGAAACATCGGGCTTCCAATCGTACTGAACGGCAACTTGAATGAGCTTCTGTAGACGAAGATCCTTCATCCACGAGTTCTTCCATTCATCGATGCGGTCAGATATCATGCTGTGCAACCTGTATCTCTTGGAAGTTGCTTTAGCGACTTGTCTATTCGGCTGATTGATGAATGTTACTTGATTATTCTTCTTTGTGCCGAGTTTGAAGTTTTATGTCCTGTGCACCAATTCGAAGGCATGTGTATCATCTAATTTGACCTTAACAGCTTCACAAGAAGGAAAGGCCCTCTAGTCAGACGATGTCGCTATCAGTATTTATGGACTGGGGCATATGCGCAGGACATTAGAAGTTCCAGAGGGATTCACCGAGATTGTTGTCCGGAATACTGGCCTTGCGAGGCTACTGCTATGGTGACTTCGGTGATGTTCAATCACTGTGTCCATCGTCGGCTTGTTCGTGGACCTCTTCGGAATTGTTAGTTGACTGCATTCGGTGACTGTCCTTTGCACAATCAGATAACGGCTGACGTTAAACGTGATACGATCTATTGCGAGATAGGTATACTGCTGGACGGTATATATGAGTGATCCACAGGAGAATGCTCTGGTATGTCGGGGTATGTGTCGCATTCTACGCTGTCAGATGCTCACAAGACGTCCATTGCCTTGATAAACCTGCCGATGAGGTGGATAGCTCTTCTATGTCGATGTGATAGATGCCCTGCAAATCGAACGACCAAGTATTCAGATCTTGAGAACAGACAGCTAAGTGCACACAATTGAGACAATAAACGGAACACATCCGAACGTTTATACCGAATGTCGGCAGGACTATCTCCAATTTAACTGGCATGAAAGGACGTACCCTATGAGTCACTTGGTTCTCAGATGCTTATCCCGAGCTCGACGCTTTGCTTCCTCCAGTCTCTTGCTCTCCGGAGAGTGAGGCACTGTAGCGGGCGCTTTGAGCACACGCAGCATACGGATGTCGGCGTAATAATTATCGGTCTTTTGGACGTGACGGTGGCTGATGCACGCCTTGACGTGAACGACCGCTCCTCTGAGCTGTGCTTCATATTCATTCGGAAGAATGAGCTCCTCGTCCATCTTGTATGCTGGCAAAGTGCACTCCTTGAACTGCTTGGCTCTGATGATCTTCTGGAGCTCTTGCTGCGCAATACCGTACTCGCATCTCCAGTTCGTCATGGAGAAGGGATCGTCGCTGCTGTCTAGCAGAAAGATATTATTCATGGACTGCCCAGATTACTGATTTAAAGAACATACGAATAACAACTTCATCGGGCTTCACTCGCTGCAGATAGAACCATCAGTTACATTGCGATTTGGCATTTGCTGTACTAACCTCGAAGATTGCATGCCTGACCTTAACACTAGTAGGATCCCACTGTTCGTCAATGATGGAATTCGTCCTGTTGCATGTAGCATCCTTGGTCATTTTGGAGTTGATGATACTCCGGAAGCCATGTAAAACGTTGTCCCAATTAACTCCAAGTTCCTTCCACTGGGGATTGGTGGGCTCTATGATATGGGCTCGCGCCTTCGCTGCGCTGAACTCTTTATCGAAACGGCCATTCCATTTGCCGCAAGCGGTGAGATAATAGCGGGTCGTGGTAGGGTCGATCTCTCCAATCCACTCTACCTCCGCTTCTCTTCCTTCCGGCTCAGGCGCACCTTTAACCACGAGAATATCGTAGTCTCCGTACTTGCGCCATTCCACATATTCGAACAGCCTGTTGGAAGCGACGTAGAATGATGAGTTTGACACCTTCGTAACTATCTGCTCAACAGGATGCTCGGGATTCGCAGCAGATCGCCGTGGCTGCAAATGAGACGAGCCGCTCGGCTGGGACGGCATCTGAGCAGCATCTTCAACAGCTAACGACTGTGAGGGTGGAGGTGTGGTTGCTGAGAGGAGACAAGTCGATACACTTCACATCGTCAAGCCGGTCGTGATCTGAACGCACCATGCGACCTCAGTAGCTCATCTTCATCCTCATCGTACGGGAGACTTCGCTTCAGACTCGCTCGTTTAAGAACCATCGCGAAACGAGGCCGATGTCGATGACTTTGATGTAGGAGAATGCACGCTACTCTCTGATCAAGATAAGGCAACGGGCGAATCTTGCCAATGCGCGACAGCAACTCGGCTCTTGCCGAGTCACCGTGGGATACGACGCCGAATCCAAAATGCGAGATCATAGTTGACACTTTGCGCAACTAGTGCGTCGAACAAAGTTATGCTTTTATATTGAGCGTATGCGGTGGTCATAGATGAAACTTGAACGAGATGAACGATCGAAATTGGAAATTGTCGCGGAGGCAACGCTAGCGCCTTGCAAGCGCCCGCTGGTTTCAGGAGACAACGCCCCGGGCAACTCCCTTATATGAGTGTCGCGAAAATCTTCCGAAATGAGCCTTGAATATGCAAACTTTCTGGCCTGCGGTTACACCAGGGGCATGAGCCCATGATTCCACTGGGAACATTTTAGACACATTGTGATGTCAATCACAATGTAATTATAATGTTACTGATGTAAACATCATGAAATTATTTGAATTGTTTCGAGTGCCATCATTGTTGAATAATTGTGATATTATTCAGAAAGACACTATAATGCGACAAGAATTGTGCTCCCGCCAGCATTCACACGACACATTGGCATCATTTTGAATGCACCTTAAGCGTACATTATAAATGTGATCAAGGTGAAGTTACAATGAGTGCCAAATGCTTTCCATCATGTGCCAGCTGGAATCATCTTGAACGCATTGGGGAAGTCCTAATATGGTTAGTGTATTACTATATATGATAATGCAATTTATACGATCACAATGAACCCAGTGGGAGCATCTTGACAACATCATGGCCCCTTATGGATATCATTTAGAATCTTCTCTCAAGAAGCATTTAGGAAGTTATCACAATATTGCTTGAATGCTGTCAGCTGCAACATTGGGGTCTCATTCTTGCATCTTTATGAATGCTATCAAAATTATGCCACAATGTTGATGCTTAAAACATTTTAAAACATGCAAAATGATTTTAAAATGTATGCACTGAAAAACATGGCATAATTATTTGGACTATTATTACAATGTGCCCAGAATGTTTCATGCGGAATCATGGGCTCATGCCCCCGGTGATTATGCAATGTGCGACAAGGCCTGTGACAAATGTCACGTTATGTAATAATATGTCACAGATTTCGTCACGTCATGTCAGAGTCAAAAAAAGATTTGTTCGCGAAGACAGCAAGCTACATACTCTCGCATAACAATGTTATAAAGTGTACCATGTATACTGTGTATCACTACGTGCTTTGTGCCATCCAAACCTATGATTTGTCTTTCAGAGTCTTACTTGTGAGTATAAGGGTCTACAATGTCAGCATATTCAATACTATAACACTTATTGGGTAAGGGAAATCCATTCAATTCATACCGATATGTCGCGTCTTTACCCACCCGACATGCAAAAATCGGGATCCCCGACGCCCATCAGGTCTCCAAATATGCTAAGTTGCGACAAGGTTAGAGGTCCTAGAAGGGCCTCGGAGGTCCGAAATATGACAAGAAAATGTGAAGTTCAGTCCCAGCGTGAGAAACAAGCACTGGGACGAACGCTTGCTTACTAAGCAAGTGGGAGAAGAAGAGACGCGCTCACCTGACATGTGCGCACTATGTCTCTTCCTCATCGCCACAACACTCGCTACCACGCTGTGTAGCAGTTTTCTTCTACTCTAGTCCTTATAGCTCAATTTCTACATATCCAACTTACACGGCCATCATGCCTAAAGGATCTCTACCTCTCGGTATTTCTGGGAAGTCCACTCAAGACATGATGAGAGAACTCGACGAGCTAGCCCACCGTGGCGAAGCTTCGCGTAACTCCTGGCAAGATGCCCCAGCAGTGGCCATCAAGCGTGAGAACGAAGAGCGCACCGTGCGTAACACGGCTAGGTTAGACCGGCGTGATGGCGGCGACAAGGCCATCTTGGACGATGAGTTATTCATTGATCTCGACGGAAACAAAATTCCCGCTGATGATGAGGAGACTGGGGAGACTCTTAAGAACCCTGCAGACGTACTAGCCGATGTGACCCCTCTTGCGATGGCTATACGCGGCATGTCTCCATCCTCGAAGGCGGCATTTATGAAGGCCTTCCAGGTGCTCATGGACACGCATATACCTGGTAAAGAGGTGCATATAGGCCCTAAGGAGGCACATACAGGCCCTAAAGAGGCGCATACCGCTGTCAAGGAGGTCGTCGATGCCTCTGAACAAGCAGGTACACCTGAAAAAAAGCTTTTTACGGTGGCGTGTCTGTGCTCCTCCAACCTGTTCAAGGACCAAGGTTTCGAGATTCCTCCGGCTGTCCTCAAGCTCGCGTCAGCGCAGATCCATATCCCTTTGATGCTGGTTACTTCAGACGCTATTCGGAGAATGCACTTGGATCTGACTTCTCTCCAGATGAGGAAGTTGACTACGAATTCTGGCTCGCGCATGGATATCATCGACCTCACCAGATGGCCCGAGGAAGAGTCCCTTCCTGTAGGGTTATTCACAGAGGCTTGGAAGAACATGCTGAAAGTCTACCGGAAGCTTGTGGACAAGGAGATCGTTGAGCTATTCCAGACTCATTATGATTACATCACATCTCTGCCGCACTTTTACAGGGATTACAAGGCTATCTTTCAGTTTGACTGTGAGGTGCGTCGAACGTGGATGAACGAGCCTTCAACCTTCTCTCCCGAGGATGCGAAGTACCAAAACCGCCTGGAGAAGATCCAGGTGGAGATGATGTGGGAGGGCTACAGCGCAGAGCCTTATGGCACGCACGACTCCTCTAACAGGTTCCGCCCATACCCTCACAGCAAGGACCACACTCATAACGGAGGTGGCCATGCACTCGAGCGCTCCAAGCCCTTTCGCGAGGGCAAACAACTCGCATCCTCAGAGTCACTTTGCCTCATATATGTGAGAACCGGACACCGCGCTTCAGCATGCTCACAAACAACTATCCGAGATGGCCGCCCAGTCATCAGCATCTTCATCAACAAGCAGTTGCTCATCGATGCCAGTCACCAGGAACTATGTATCATATGGAACCTCGCCAGTCACCAGGAACTATGTATCATATGGAACCTCACCGGCACCTGCTCCTGTCACTGCCCAAAAGGTACCCCTCATCGCTGCTCATTCTGTGATTCTCAAGAGCATCACGCCGGCTCATCAACCTGTTTGCATCTGTAATCACATTGTGATGCCATACGACGCCGACGCCTTCGAGGCTATCCTGCAGCGCCATAGTCTTCTTGATCGATACCCGTTCCTACTGCATAAGATCCGCTACAGTTTTTCCATTGACGATTTTGCTCCTCTACTCCACTCCTTCACACCAGATAATCATAACTCTGCACTGCAACATCCTCTTGTCATCGAAGCATACATCCAGGAAGAGCTGGATGCCGGTCGTTTCTCTGGCCCCTTTTGGCAATCTGAGGTTGAGGACCAACTCAGGTCCTACTTTCGTTCTTCACTACTCACCATTGTCGAGAAGGCCGGATCTCCGGGAAAGTTTCGCGTCATGCGTAACCTATTCTATAAGGACGAGACCGGCATATCAGTCAATGACCAAATCGATTCTAATGAGTTTCAGACTAGCTGGGCTATGGCTGCCCAGGTCGCAGAAATAGTAAGTGTTTCCTATTTTTCTTCGTTCATTTTTCAGTGCAGCCAATGCGCCGCATCCACACTCATACCCATCCTATTCATTTCATTTACATGTTATCCCCACGTCGTTATCCGTGGTGGCATTCCGCTCACTCATTCTTCAGGGAATCTTCGTGCACCCATTTTGGAGAGCACCTATGCGTCGTTTGCTTGCTCGCTCTACTGTCGTCGTGGCACGTATGCACTCATATCTGCCAAGGGCATATTCTGGCTTGCACGTCATTAAACGGGCTTTGCCCGTGCTTCTCATTACCGTCACACATGTCACACATGCGCTGTCTGTTTAGCCTGTGCTAACGTCGACAATCATGTCTCATAGGTCACCACCACACCCGACGGCGCCCAGGCTGCGACCCTGGACATAAAAGCGACGTTTCGTGCATCTCCTGTGTGGCTGCCTCACAAGCATTTCACCATCGTGAAACACAACGATACATTTTACATTGATCATTGTTTGCCGTTTGGCATATCCTCTGCCACTGGTGTGCAGGGCGAGCCCGCCGACGCTATCATAGACATCCTCACTTGTGAAGGTGTTAAGCCCACTGGGAAGTGGGTCGACGATTTCTTTTCATTTCAGTTTCCATCCAGTGGTGGCTGGGTCAATGGGGTTCTGGTGCTCTACTCCTACCCATATGATTTGAAAACTGTTTTGTGCATCACCACCCCTCTCGGTGTCCTGTGGCATACCGGGGAGAAGCTTTACGATTATGGGTTTATCTGTGTTTATTTCAGTTTCTTGTGGAATTTGCCTGAGCATTCAGTTTCTCTTCCTGAAGTGAAGCATGTCAGGTATCTAACAAAACTACAGGCCTTCATCACAGGTGCCGAATGCGGCCGCGTCACCGTGCACGAATCCATGAGTATCAATGGCACACTGTCGCACATCACCTTCGTTTTTCCGCATGGTCGGGCCTATCTGCCAAACCCATGCGCTTTCATATCATCCTTCCCTAACTGCTTCGCTACATGGTACCCCCTCCGCACTCCGTCATGTCAGACATGCGTTGGTGGCTATCCATGCTGGCGTCGCCATCACCACCTCAGTCACTGCGCCCTCGAGGTGAGCCTCAAGATCTGGGTATCTATTGTCCGAGGGTGAAAATTTATGAGGGCTGTAGACACATAGGAAAGTGAGTGACTCAGCCTCGATGTATAATGCGAGTGCTATATAAATACCTGTAGACACATAGGAAAGCGAGTGACTACAGTATATCAGTAAAGACTAAGTAAAGGAGTCCAGTAGGTACTCACCTCAGCCTCGATGTATAATGCGAGTGCTGAGGTAGCAGGAAAAGATTGAGCACGCTTGTGGCTACGTGATTATATAAGCGAATACGCGCGAAATGTCTAAGTCCGTGTCCCACTGGACATAAAGTCCGTATGACTTCCAACAGTATCTGGGTCGACACGTCTACTGACTGGGGTGTTGGCCTCATCATGGGCTCGAGCTGGGCAGCCTGGCGCTGGATCCCTGGTTGGAAGAGAGACGGGCGTGACATTGGGTGGGCCGAAATGATCGCGCTCGAGTTTGCAGTCCGCGTGGTCGACAGCCTCGGCTACCAGGATGCAGCTATCCTTGTTCGGGGTGACAACACCAGCGTTATTGATGCATACAAACGCGGCTGTGATCATAATCGGCATACCAATGAGTCTATCCGTCGTGTGGACATCATCGCTATGGCCTCAAATCTCATTTTTCTGCCCTCGTATGTCAATACCAAAGACAACTTGGCTGACCCGGTCTCTCGCGGTGTACCGGATGCCAAGTTATCTTGCCTTCTGAAACTGTTCGAGCTCCCAGTAGAGCTTCAGCCATTCTTGACCCATGTCTAGTACAACTTCGTGCCCAGCGCCTGCATGTGCAGGTGCGACGATGTGAGGTGAGGATTCGTCTGGTGAACTAGCCACTCAGCGGGCTGATCCTCAACCATGTACCTCGACATCACAAATTTCGAAACAGGCTCAGAAGCCCAAACCTGGATGTTCCATCGCTCTGTCACCACTCCGTCCCGATGTGCCTGCTGCCCAACGTCTCGTCCTATGGTGCACTCCATACAATATCAAGCAACAATCTCGATTCGCATCGTCTCTGTCATCCAAGCATTTATTCACACTTTTTAGCTGCTTGCTGTCTTCTGTTGAACGAAAAATGCGCTCCAACTATGGTGCTGGATTACTACGCTTTAATCAATTCTGCGACTCTCTGCATATACCCGAATCGACTCGCATGCCCGTTTCAGACTACCTTCTTGCAGCCCTCCTTGCTGAATGGCAAAGCCGCACTGTGCGCTATACCGTCGACACCTGGTTGGCAGATCTCCATTTCTGGCACACGATACATGGTGCACCTTGGCTCGGAGGTGACATGGTAAAGACTGCATGTAAAGCCATCAGTAAAGCTGTACCAGCAATTTCTCATCGTCCCAAGCGGCCTCCTGTCACGCTCGAACACATGCATGCCTTGCGCAATGGTCTGGACCTTTCTAACACTTTCGATGTGGCAGTGTACGCATGCGCATGCATGGCTTTCTGGAGCGTTTGTCATCTTGGTGAGGTTGTTGTGCCCAGTGCCACTTCATTCGATCCTGAGCAACACATGTCTCGGGAACGGCAGCTCTTAATTCACCCTCTGCCTGGTGGCTCCCATTACGCAACCCTGCATATACTTTAGACGAAAACTACCCATTCGGACGGCGCAAATATCGTCATTTCCAACATCGCAGACCCAACCAACCTGCTCATTGCTCTTCGCCATCACCTTTCCGCAAACGTGTTGGAAGTCCTACGGACTTGTATGTTCAGTAGGACGCGGACTTAGTAGTTTCAGCGCGCGTTCGCTTACATAATCACGTAGCTATGTCGCGCCTGAGCGCTTTTGTCACCTCAGCACTCGCTTTATTCATTCGAGGCTGAGGTGAGCACTATGGACTCTATATCTATGTTTTTTACTCACATATTGTAGTCACTCTTTACTTCCGTGTCCTACAGGTATTTTATACAGCACTCACTTTATTCATTCGAGGCTGAGTCACTCTTTACTTCCGTGTCCTACAGCCCTCATAAATTTTCACCTCAGACAATAGGTTATGAGCCCCACGGCTACACACTAACCTGTCCACTCATTAAAGCTTCCACTGTGCTCACATTCCTTCCCCCTCTGACGGATGACAACACCGCCATCTACCCCAGCGCCAACACTAGCACCAGCTCGTCCTCCAGCACCACCTGCTCCACAGCCCTCTACTCCCATGTCTACATCCACAAAACAACCCTCCGGCTCAAACCGTCTCTTTGACATTCCATCCCTTGAGAATGAAGGCGGCAACTACCAGCAATGGAAGTTCCGTGTTGAGACGGTCCTACGCATCAGGAAGCTCTGGGACATTACTCAGGGCCAGGAAACCCGACCTGCGGATTCCGAACCTGCCAAGCAAGCCGAATGGGATGACCGTGACCAAGACGCAAAAGCGCAGATCACCCTCACGCTCAAAGACACGCCTCTGAGTGGTGTGATGTTCGAAAAGACGGCGAAATCCACTTGGGACAAACTCGCCGCTCAGTACGAGGGAAAGGGAAAGCAGACGATAGCTCACCTTATCAGTGAGCTGTTCCGTAGTGTGCTCTCTGACGAGACAGGCATGGAGTCGCAGCTCGATGCCATGGTACAAAAGGCCAACGTTCTGGCCAATCTGGGACAGTCACTTGATGACTCACTGATCGCGGTCGCCATGGTTATCTCACTCCCCCCCTCATATTCAGTCCTTCGCACTATTCTGATGTCATCCAGCGACAAGCTCACGACGGAGATCGTTACGAATCAAGTTCTCAC